GACAGACAGGGTCTGGAGATCTCCCCAGCCTGTTCCTTCCGCACGGAATTCCCCAAGTGTCCAGCGGGCAGCTGCCTCCGAAGGGGAAACCGAAGCAGCCAGAGGAGAGGCGACAGTAACAGCAGGGAGGAGAGTGCTGATGCTGCCTCCAGCTGTGCCCACAAGGAGAAGCTCTTCGGGGATGAGGGAAGAGACAGAAAACCCACAACAGGCCAAGAAAAGGAACCTCGACCGAGGGGTACACGTGTTTCCAGCGAGACAGAACCAGGAGCAGACCACGGAGCACCAGCATGCAACTCCAGCGTCTCAGCCCATCAGAGCCACTCCAAGGGCCAAGGAAATAACCAGGGGCAGATGAAGCCGTTCAGTCCCGTACCAGCTGTACGTACAAGCGTACTCACAATCCAGGCAGCTCCTCACGCTCCCCGTCTCACCCCACCGCCCGCGCGCGGCCCAGCAGGCACACCACTCAGCCATTCCCCTCGCAGGCGGCATCACGCTTTCACCGGCTCTCCTCCACGTCTCTGGCAACACGCACATTCCCGCAAGCGTTTCTCACGCATTCCTGAAACCTCCAGGGTCGTTTAAGCACCCCGTCCTGAACAGGAGCATCAGAGAAGCACCTACGTAGTTATCTCGTTACGCATCAGCAGGTGCCTTCATCCACTCAGAGGGTACGCGATGCCGGTCAGCGCTGCGTAAGCCAGCAGCGCGGCGAGTCCAGCTGCAGATAAAGCTCATCAAGTAACCTAAAACGTCGCTGGTGCATGGAGGAGGCAAGCGAAGAGAAACACAATGGTGCAGCTCAAGCAAGAAACGACCTCGGGCTCTTCCACTGCAGCGTGCCGAGCCTGGGCGCAGGCAGCAGCGTGACCCAGCTCCTGGCCGATCAGTCCAGCCGTCGCAAGGGGAGAAAGGGGTCCTGGACTCAGTTCCTGTGCCCACCCTACCCCAGCGAGGAGGGATTTGGCAGCTATCCCCTTCCCCTCAGGTATTCCGGGGTACAAAATCCTTGCCCTTCCCCACCTGCGACGTTAGAAAGAATTGACGTGGTCGGCGAATCCTTCCCTTGTGCACAAGCCTCTTCCTCCCACTCACTCGCACAGATTCCCTCCGAGCGCAGCAGCAAGATCCAACACTTTAATCCATCAGGAGGTGTTCTCATACGTTCTGACAAGGAAATTCCAAGTCAAAGTGCGACCCATGATGTTGGAACATTCCCCGTCACTCACACTCTGCTGTTCCCGCAGGATGAGCTCCCGGGCCGCTGAACACACACTCAAACGCCCCACAGCGACCACACGCGGATGGGTGAGACGGGCCGCGGGTTACCCCCGCTTCAGCGTAACTGCCCAGCGCGCGAACCGGCCTGCGGTCACGTACCCCCTTCCCAAGTCGCCTTTTTGTTCCTCGTGGATTCGCTCCAAACCGCCCAAGAGTTCACAACCAGCCTCCCTCAGCAGCAACGGGGGCAGCAGAGGCTGAGGAATGCCTCGGATTTCCCTCCATAACCTCTATACAGGGCTTTTCCGGCCCGCTTCCCTACCTCCGCCTGGCAGGGAGGACAGCAGGTTCCCTACCCCGAGAAGGTGGCTGCCACACCAGTCTGCGCTCGTTAGAAGGCCGGTAATTAGTTACCTGTGAACCCTCAGTCCTAGAGGCACACACCTTTCTGATAAAACTACATCCCAAGTCCCAGCCTGAAGCGTTCCCAAGCTTTCCTGGATTTAACCGAGCTGGTGAGTGACCATCGGAACGGCGCCGTTACAGTCAGCTAAGCCGAACCCAAACCCCGTGCAGCCGACGTGACGGAGGTGCCCGAAGCAGCAGGATTTTGCTTGATTCTCCCTCCCTTTGCCTACTGGTTGAGAACTGGGTTTGGATGCCCAAAGCACTGCCCTGCCGCAGGAAGAAAGAAGAGGAGCGACTCGTCTGTGGGCCACAAGTCCTGCCCGTCCCCAAGAAAGCTAACTGATCAGGTTAGCTCTGCGTAACATTCAACAAGAGCAAGAGGGTGCGCTGTGTGAATTCCGGCGTGGAACGCCGTACGGGCACGCTGGCTACAAGCTGGACGCAGCTCTGCCCTTTGACCACATCCTTTTTTTTTTTTCCCACTGCTGAGAATTTACTTTCTTTTAAAGCGGCTCAGGTAGGGGAACTGTGAACAGCCACCCCCAACCTGTCGCTTTTGGCCTGGAATCTTACACCAACGTAATGGCGGGATGGAGCTTTGGGCTGAAAAATGCGGAGAGTGGACCTCATCCCCGGTTTCAGGGGTAAAAGGAAGGCGGTGCAGTGCGCAGCAGAGCGGCTCCTGCGCCGGCCGTGCAGCAGCTCGGGGCGTTCTCGTGTGCAACGTGTGAGCTCCTAATGAGAGGGGCGAAAATTCCCTCAGCCCACGCTCCGAGCTGGGCCAGAGGCAAACGCCGAGAAGCTGGAAAAGCTCCGCGCGTTAATTCCTGCCATCCTGGAAAAGCCGCCAAGCTTCCCGCTTGGCTCTGCGGGATGCTCTGAGCAGGTGGAGCCGCTGGAAGCGGAGGGCAGCGTGGCCCTCGCCAACGGCTGCCCAAACACACGGTTCTGGGTTTCATCACACAACTTTCTTCCCTGACAAACAAGGTGAAAGAGCCAAAGATTGGCGCTCATCGGTTTACGTTCCCCTCCGCCGCAGGTCAGCCCCCACTAAAAACCCCTCGGAAATGTGAACGTCGGGCAAGTTCTGCTATAAAGAGGCACCTCCCCCTGCGATTCCTGAGCGCGGAGCGGCAGCACCATGCGGTGAGTGCGAGGGGCAGCGTCTGCACCACTGTGAGAGCCCAGAACCAAACTGATGCCAGACTTTCTGACCGAGACAATAAAACCCTGAGGGATCAGGCAGCACTTACAAGTCTTTGCTCTGCTTCATCCTATGAATGTCTTTAAGAATGCCCATCATGTCCGCGAAACTGCTGGCCTTTGAAAGAGAGACAGAATCTTCCTCGTCCGGATCCTTCGGCTCCGGTTTGAAGCACTCAGAGGCCGTGGAGCACAGCATGGAAACCGACGGGAGCTCGGGGCTGTCGAGTTCTGCCTCCTCCTCTGTGATGTCGCTAATGACAAAGGACGTCGTAGACTGGAAAGAGGGTCCAAAACAAGGTAAAGGAGAAGATGCGTTTGAGCTTCCTGGAGATAATAAATCTGGTGTGAATGAAGCAGAAGCTGAAAAAGAGAACAGTAAGGGTGGATAAACAAATTCATACCAAACCACATAGGTATTGTTTTCCCTCCCCAAAATCAAGAGGCGTCATCAGCCAGCCTGCCCCGTGCTGTGAGAACACAAATCCGCCACATCCTGTTACCCTCCGTGTCCACGCTCCCAAGACCCTCTCCAGTCCCTCTAATCCCACCCCTCTGGTCCCAGCACCGCCCCAACCACGCAGAGCGCAGGTCACAGTTGCCGCTTCCGGATCTGCAGATGGAGGAGCAGCGATGCAGCTGCTGCGTAGGGTCGGGGCGGGGGCCCGTGTCAGGACACAGGTCTTAATTATCTTCCCTCTTGCTCCTCACCGCTGTGAGAAACACACGGCTTGCTTTGTTGGAAGGACCCATTGGAGCGAGTGCAGAGGAGGCCAC